GTTTGAACCACCAGCCTTCTGGTTAGCAGTCAAGTGCCTTAGGCACTACGCTACCAGAGCTCCTACATGCCACTTGGGCAATGGCAAAATGAAAAAAAGGAGGCATTCTCCATCAAGTCCAGATTGCCAGTGAGGCAAAACAGGTAGGAGAGGCAGGGAAGTGAGGGGTGGGTAAGGGTGGAGAACAATGGAGAAAATCCACAAAGGGAAAAAGAGGCAGAAGGAGAGGATCAGATGATCTGCTCCTTCACAGAGGGGCATCTTTTCTCTGCACTCTGCTTGAGTGTTGACTGACATCTGGAAGTGCAAAGGCCTAGGAGTGAAGATGTGAATCCTGAGGTCTTCTTTAGACTAAGACCTCAGGTGGGGAAAGACATAGGAAGGTTCCAAATGGAGGACCCAGGGGTGAGATGTCCAACCACATCCCCCCTCCAGAAAGTCCAGGATTGCTGTGTGATACAGGTGAAGGGAGTAGTAGGCCATAGGGCCAGAGTTATCTGCTTCAGTGGTAGGTGCTTTCAGATTACTGGAAGATGGCTTTTTACCTGCTGATATCCAGCCACAGCTACATGGATAATTTTTTGCAGGACCTCAAAATCTAGGCAAATCCCTGAAGCTTCTCCTGGGACAAAGGGCTTCACCTGTAGCCACCCAGAAGCAGCTTCCTCCAATAGGCTGCAAAGTTATGGCCAAAGATTTCGGCATCTGTCTTCTCCCCACCTTAAGAAGTGATAGGAATCTCCTTTCTTCCCAAGAATGAGTGGAGTCAGCCAACTGCCTTTCTATGGCACCTCTGAAAATGGCCCACAGTGGGGCAGTAAGGAGACATTGGGTCCTCCTCTTTATTTCCAGGAAGCATTTGCCATGAGGGAGCAGAAGCCAGACCCTTCTCCCAGGTATATGTGTGGAAGTGGGGCATGTCCACTAGACTGGGAGGAAGAAGGGGAAGGAAGCATGGACAGAGATGGGCAGGCTTTTGGAGACAGAACTAGAGCTGCACAAGGTGTCAAATGCTGGGCCTCTAACTTCATGACCAGGGAAATACTGAGGGGGCCAGGCTCTCTTCATGCCTCTCTTCATCCTGCTTTCCAACTCTAGGAGGGGACAAGAGTAAAGGGCAGACAAAGCAGGTAAAAGGAAAATGGGGTGGAGCAGCAGAAAAGAGGGTTCTTGTCAGCTGGACGCCACTCCCGTTTACCTGCTACTCAGGGATATGGAAAAGGCAGGCAGGATGCTCTAGTGGAAGTGGGGAAGGGAGTTGGTGGAGGGATCCATGGGGGAGTCCATGCCTTTGGTCAGTCCCAAGAAAGCAGGACAATGCACCTCAGCACCTTGTCTGGGGCAGATAGGATCCAGGAGTGCCCCGAGTCAACAATGGAGAAGGCAATGGGAGTGATGGGGTGGAGGATGGGGTGTAAGGGGGCTCACAGAAGGAGTTTGCCATTTCTGTGGATTTTCAGGATACGGCCGAGTCTCTGCTTTGCTGTGGCCAGGCCCTTTTTGGGACGCTTTCCTGTGGGGGAAGGGAGAGATAAGCAAGGTCCCCCCACAGCTTGGTCAAGGGCTTTAGCAGCAACTCCAGCACCAAGTGTCCTCAGGCCATCTCCCCTTCTCTTTTTGTCTGCCCAGTAAGTCTCCCCATCCTTAGGCCTGGTTTCCAGCCCACCTTGGAAGAAGTACTCTTCTCTTGCCAATTCCCTTACTCAACTGCTTCCATCCAACATTACGTGCCTTTGCTCTTCTTCCTATGACCTCCTACAGCAGCTATGAACTATCTGTGTCCTGGTCACAGTCTGTCCAGTTCCTTTTCCTCACCGCTTTAGTTTCAATCATGTTGCCTCCTTAATACTGCAGAGCGGTGACTGTCCTTTTATGTCCTCTTATCCTGACTACCAGGATTGGACATATGCCAGGTTAATTACCACAGCTCAGTATCCCTGAAGTTGTCATCCTCAGGGCCTTGTTTTATTAGATATCCCTATGCTCATCATTCTAACGTCACACCAACCTTACCATCCTTGAGCAGAGCACTGTAAGGACTGGGCTTTGAAGGACCAAGTGAGGAAAAGAAGGGGCTTGATGCCCCTTTCTCTTGCCTCTTCCTCTCTCTCCATATCAAATCACCTCCCATGTTCTATTTGACTTTTTCCATAAGTGATCAATTTTCTCCCCTACCTTTCTATTTCCTTTGACAGAGCCCCAGCTCTGTCATTCCCTTCTAAATTGATGTATTTGTCTCTTCCCTAGACTGCCCATCTTCAGTCCACCCTCCACTCTGGTCACCAGAAGGATCTTTCTAAACCCAAACCTTATCTTGTCTCTCTATGCTTAAAACCAGTCAATGTCACTCACTCTATGGCCTATGGGATCAAGTCCAAGCTCCTTATATTGGCCTTCAGTGTCTCTAAGGTCTTTCTCAGTTCTATAACCGTAGGGTAGTGGTACCTTGTCCTGATTGATTGCTCTGGGAGCCAACCGAAGGGCGCCGCTGGGTCAGGAAGACACCGGGGGCCATGGGTGTGGTGCTGCGGTTTGCTTGGGCCATGCCACATGCATTGGGACGAGCAGTATACTCGTGGTCAGCAAGGCTTCCTGAGAGGGCCTCTTGTTTAGGCTCAGGAGGCAAGGGGTTGAAAAGCTGGGGTGTCGTGGTGAGAGTTGGGGCTGGTGTTGCCAGGTTCAGATTGGAGTCTTGAGGGCGAGGCTGTTCTACTTCCTTCAGCAAAGGTTTCTTCTTGACATATTTCTTCTTTTGGGTCTTCTGCAGCTCCTGAAACACAATCCAAGCAGGAAGGGAGAGTTCAGGAATAGAGAAAAGAAAAGAAAATCTCATAGAAAGGGAACTGGACAATGCTCAATATGGTTCTGAAACCCTTCCCTTCAGTCCAGCCTGAATGTATACACAATGCATAGGACTTCCAATACCCAACGTCATCTCCTTAGGAAACGAGTTAGGAAATTTGGGTTTTAGTCCTAGGATTGCCATTAATGTGGTAGACCGTGGACATGTCTGTTGTTGGTATGTGCCATTGAGTTGGACCCGACTCATAGTGACCCCTCCTTGGGGTTCTGAGGCAGTATCACTACGGAAGTAGATTGCCCAACCTTCCTTCTGAGGAGTGGCTGGTGGGTTTGAACCACCAGTCTTCTGGTTAGCAGTCCAGTGCCTTAGGCATTACGTTACCAGAGCTCCTGACATGTCAATTAATAATAGCTAAATTTATGTCAGCAGCTGAGGTATTTCATATACTTTATCTCATTTAATACTCCTAATAGCCCTGCAAAAGAAAAACGCTTATTTTACAGATGAGAAAACTGAAGTAAAGGGGCATTAAGTAACTTGAGCCTAAAGCTTCATATCTGAAAAGTAGTTGAGTCCAGTATTCAGCCCAAGTCTATTCAACAGAGAACCTACAAACTTCAAGATGGAACATCTAAGAATAGAAAAAGCATTAACTTTGGAATGAGATAAATCTAAGTTTAAATTTAGGCTTCCACCTTACTAAATTGGATGACCTTGGTCAAGTTACAAACTTTTCTGAATCTCAGTTGCCTCATCTGTAAAATGGGGTTGTTGGAAAGGGTAAATAAAATAATAATGTGAAAACATATAATACCAAGTAGGAATTCAGTAAGTGGTAAAATGTTATTCTATCTTCGTCTCTTACAAAGGCTTCTTTGCTGGTCTTTTTCTTTTGAAAAAGTTCTTGACAGTCCTCCAGGTCACTGGATCTTAAACCTCAATATTGGATGGGAGGGATGAATAAGGATTTGTTTCACTCCTCCCAAAGTGTTGGAGTCTATCCATCCATTGCACCATGGCTCTACTATCCACTGATAGTAGGTACCTGTATAGTGGGCATCTGGAGCCCTGAGAAACTGGAAAGGTAGTGCTGAGAGCATATGAACAACTTCACCTTCTGAAATGCTACCTGGTCACACAGACCAACTCAGTGATTACATTTCTTTGCCTTCTCCTGGCAATTCGAGCCTACTCCTGCCACTTGGAAGATCTGACAGGCTGTGGCTACCATAGGAATTTCTGGGGGACAAGAATAATAATATTAGCAATACATGCCAGGCACTGTTCTATTATTTACTCATTGAATACTCATAAGAACCTGAGAAGTAAGAATTATAATCTCATTTTAAGGATGAAGAAACTGTGACACACAACATGAAAATGTCATCAATATCTCTGAGCTGTAAATAGGGACACTGTTATGTTGGCAAATGTCTTGTTGTCTATGTTTTCACCACAATGGATAAAAAGAAAAAGTAAAGAAATGAAACTGTGGCACAGAGGTTTGTCTTTTCCTCAAGGTAGTGGACCAGTAAGTGACCAAGCCAGGATTCAGACTGAAGCCATATAGCTTCAGAATCTCTGCATGTAGCCATACTGCTATTCTACCCATGCCAGGAACCGCAGAAATCAATTCTCTCATCCTAATTCAAAAATGATCTCTTCACATCTAGATCACTTAGCCTACGTTTTCCTACCTTTGCTGCTAATCTCTTTCTCATACAAACACTCTCACAGAAGACTAGACTGATTGTCTCACAACAGGCCACTTTTATCTTGCCAATTACCTCACTCAAAAAATTGTTAGAAGGTTCTCATCCAAGTTCAGACTTCTGACCTGACATGCATGGTCTTCCACAGTCTGGCCACTGATACCAAGCCAACCCATAATGATAATGATGAAAAGCTAACATGTTTATGGTAGTTACTCTGTGCCAAGTACTTGTCTAAAAGGTTTTTTATATATTACCTCATTTAATCCTCACACACAGTCTATGAGGAAGCTGAGGCACAGAGACGTTAAGTAACTTGCCCAAATGGCTGAGTTAGGATCAAACCTAGGTAGACTAGCTCTAGAATCATGTTTTTATAATCACTACTTATCTTACCCCAAATCCCAATATGAACCTTCCAATCCAGAAATATCTGCTTATACATTCATTCATTCACTCACTCACTCCAACACTGACTAGATATATGTGCTTAGCACAGTGGGGATATCAAGTTGAATTAGATACATCCTCATCCCTGAGGCACTTAGAGTTTAACAAGGGTCATAGAAAAAAATATTTATGATTGTTGAGTACCATGAGAGAATGCTAAGGAAGCATGAAAGAAGGCCACTGAAATAATGTGGTGATAGGTGTCACGAAAGGTTGTTAGGTAAGACATCTGAGGGGAACAGAAGCTTGTGTGAAGGCACAGAGGCATGAAACAATCTGATATACTGATTTAACTATGAGTACCATGTGTAGTACATGAGTACCATAGTGTAGTACATGAGTACCATAGTGTAGTATGGTTGTAAAGTACATCTATGAGGGGCTGTCAGATGAGTGAAGAGAGGTGACTAAAGATCAAATCAAGAGGACTTTGTCTATTATATCAGGGAGCTCCTTTTTTCCTTGAATGCCTCCTTGCCTCTACCATAAACTCAGCCTGCAAAACCCCTCCCCAATTTCAAAAGCTCCTTTTAAGGCTCCTTATAAAAATAACAGTATTTTTCACACCTTTAATTAATTTATCTGTTTATTTAAAGCAGCACAACCCCTCTTATCAAATTACATCTTACATAGCACTGGTATATAAAGAACACAGAGAAGTTCTGGTCAAAGAAGATCCACATGGCCAGCCTTGTCTCTTCTGGCTCCTAACAACAGCCTCTGAGATATTTCTAAGCAACTCTATAGCTCCACAGAACATCACATGAAAAACATAATTCTATTAAATTTTATTTAAATAGGATTTAATTAGTAAATCATATAAACATTTAAGTATTTCATTTTATTTAAATAGCAAGTAACATGAAATTTAAAGTTAGAGGATATGAGTTTGAATCGTGTCTCCTCCGTTTACTGGCTGTATTATCCTGGACTAGTCACTTAAAGAGAGTTTCATTTTCTTCACCTGTAAAATGATGAAAATATCACCTACTGAACAGCTCTACTGGGCATTTTACATGAAACACTGTAAATGGAGGCACCTAGTATACAGCAGATGCTCAATAAATGCTCTAAGCTACAAGATGTGATATGAAGAGCTAAGAGGATACTGATAAGGGGAAAATTAGATTCACCTTCAATTGCTTCCAGAGTTGCTGAGCACATTACACAGGTTAAAGAACTTTGTAAACTATAATGCTAGGAGGTGAGCTTATTCTAGTGAAGATGACCCTCTAGGACAAAAAGCAGTAGTTGAGTTTTCTTGGGAAGCAGGGGATGAAGATCAAGGCAATAATATTTGGTAAAGAGAACAAGAAAAACCTCTTTCCAAAAGACCAAATTACAATAGCTGAGTTACTTCCTAAAGGCTTCATCTGAGGGCAAATGCTCTCACCTAAGGACAGACCTAGTTCCTCCCATCTGAGAGGTTTTTATATACCCGGGAAGGCAAGAGAAATCACCAAAGGTCTTTCTTTGGCTCCATGTTTTCTTTCATCCTAAATTATACCAACTGTGTAACCTGAGGAAGTAGCTTGTTATTAAGCTGGGGTGTGAAGGATATAGGTAGGCTTTGGGACACTATTATGGATAAAGATCAAAGGCTACACACTACTCAATAAGACAACAGTGGGATCCTATCATCCTGAAGGTCTGAGGTTTGAGGTTCTAAATCTAACTAGGATAAGTAGCAGGGCCATTACCTGGAGTGTCAATACCTACCTGTTGGGCCAACTTTGCAGCTGCTGCAGCCAAGCCTGTCTCAATGGAGGCTACCCGGGTCCCCTCACGCACAGGACGGTCCTGCTTTGGTAGGGTTGGGGTCACACGGGCTGCAAGAAAAACAGAATGAGGTGTCACTCTCTTTTTCTAGCCTAACAAGCTATGAGCTCCTGAAGAAGATTGTCTTCTTTCATAATCCCCTTATATTTTCAGTAGGAAGTATATTTCAGGATAATTAAACAGCCCCAGTTGGTGAGGGAACATTCTTCTTTATAGAAGAATACAAGCCAGTCAATGTAGAAGGAATGATATAATTAGAAAATTAAAAGTTTACAAAACCTCTAATGAAACAATTTATGCTACAGAATTAGATATTCACACAATGCCAAAGTATTGCCTCCCAGATCATTTGCTAGTTGAAAGAAGAAAAACCTAACTTTATAACAGATCAGGGGATCATCATCTTGAACTAAGTATCAAAACTTAGTATCATTAATAGTGGGACAATCCTACTTCATGTGCCTCCTGATAAAATAGGATATTCATAGTATCATTTGGGAAGTAATATTGCCAAAAACCTCAAATCAAGTAATCCTTTGAAATTACTTCCACTTATTAGCAAACACAGGGGAAGAAGAACAAATTAAGTGACATCATGAGAAAATAATTAATCTAAAAGATACTTTTCTCTTTGAAAGTCAATTTCATAAAGAAGCAAACAGACAAATCTAGAAGGTAGGATATGGTACAAGACAATCAAACCAGTCTCTACAGTACATTGTTTAAAATCAGGAAGGGTGTGAGTCATGTTGTATCCTCTCACCATACTTATTCAATCTGTGTACTGAGCAAATAACCCAAGAAGCTAGACTCTATGAAGAACAACATAGTATCAGAATTGGAGAAAGACTCATTAACCACCTGTGATATGCAGATGACACAACCTTGCTTGCTGAAAGTGAAGATGCCTTCAAACATTTACTGATGAGATCAAAGACTACAGTCTTCAGTATGGAGTACATCTCAACATAAAGAAAACAAAAATCCTCACAACTGGACCAATAAGCAAAAGGCTGAAGTTGTCAGGAATTTCATTTTATTTGGATCCACAATCAATATCCATGGAAGCAGCAAGAAATCAGATGTCATACTGCACTGGGAAAATCTGCTGCAGAAGACTTTAAAGGGTTAAGAAGCAAAGATGTCACTTTGAAGACTAAGGTGCACCTAACCCAAGCCATGGTATTTTCAATAGCCTCATATGCATGTGAAAGCTGGACAATGAATAAGGAAGACTGAAGACCTGATGTCTTTGAATTGCAGTGCTGATGAAGAACACTGAAAATACCATGGACTGCCAGAAGAACTAACAAATCTGTCCTGGAAGAAGTACAGCTGGAATGCTCCTTGGAAGTGAGAACGGCCAGACTTCATCTCAAGTACTTTGGTCATATTGTCAGAAGAGACCATTCCCTGGAGAAGGGTATCATGCTTGGTAGAGGGTCAGCAAAAAAGGGGAAGACCCTCATCAAGATAGACTGACACAGTGGCTACAACAATGGGCAAGGATTGTGAGGACAGCACAGGACCAGGCACTGTTTTATTCTGTGGTACATATGGTTGCTGTGAGTTGGAGCAGACTTGAAAGCATCTAACAACAACAACTGCATCAAATCAATCTCTGGATTCAGAGACTCAAAAGACATGGCATCCAAATGCCATATGGATCCTGTTTGGATTCTGATTTAAACAAACCAACTAAAAATACCACTTTATTTTTTGTTAGGCAATTAGGAAGAATTGATTATGCACTCAGTATTAGATGACATCAAGGACTGGTGGTTAATTTTGTTATGTATGGTAACAGGACTGTGGTTATGTGACAAGGTGTCTGTATTTTTTAGAAACACATACTGAAGTATATGGTGATAAAAATAACATAATACCTGGGATTTGCTTTAAATATTTCAGCAAAGAATTTTTTTTTAAAGGGAGAAAGTGATAGATAAATATGGCAACATATAGGCAATTGTTGATTCTCAGTGGTAGTGTAAGTATATAGGGAGTTCACTGTACTTTTCTCTATTTTTAATGAAAGAAAAAGGCAGTATCACAGAAAAAATGGTTGTTGGTGGTACTGATCGAGATTTAAAAACTCCTTAGTAAGCTAGCTATTGTTATTATTAAAAGGAAAATTTCTGGATAAGCAACATGCAGACAACAGGCAACTCAGGAGGCTAGAGTCTTTCTTGAAAAGTGACATTATATTTGTTTTAAAAAGATGATCTGAAACAAATCAAGCAAAAATGTTAGTACATAAATATAGAGTCCTGGTGTATCTTTTGTATTATTCTCTATAGTTTTCTATATATGGTAGTTTTAAAACATGGCCCCAAATTCTTTAATGTGTTTTTTACCGATAGGTCGGGTCTATGCCCCTTCTCCTGCAATCTGGGCAGTTCCTTTGTAACCCACAGATGTGGTGGAAGTGACACTGTATTACTTCTGAGCCTAGGCCAGAAAAGGTGATTTCAGTTTCCATTTTGCTTGCTAAAACACTTGTGCTTGGAGTTCTGAGCTGCCATGTAAGAAGTCTGACTAATCTGAGGCCACTAGGCAGTGAACAAGACAGACACATGGAGAAGCTACATATTGACACTTTGGTTGACACTTCTAGTCTTTGAGTCTTCTCAGCCCAGGCACCAGACATGTGAATGAATGAAACTTCAGATGACTCAAATTCCTACTATAAAGTCACCCCTAGCTTTCTAGTTTCCTTGGCTGAGGCCCCAGACATTGTGGAACAGAAATAAGCTGTCCTCATCATGCACTTCCCAAATTCCTGACCTGTAGAGTTGTTTTAAGCTGACAAAAAACAAGCTGTAAAAGACATTTTGGGGGAACAACTGAGAAAATTTATTGTGGACTGGGTATTAGAAGATATTAAGGAATTACCATTAACTTGTTAAGTATAATAAAGGAGTTGCTATTGAAGTTAGGTGCTGTTGAGCCAGTTTTTACTCATAGTGATCCTATGTATAACAGAACAAAATGTTGTTTGGTCCTGCACCATCATCACAGACCATCTGTCAGTCAGTTTATCATAGTGTGGTTTCAGTGTTGCTCTGATACTAGAATCTATGCCACTGGTATTTCAAATACCAGCAGGGTCACCCATTGTGACAAGTTTCAGCAGAGCTTCCAGACTAAGACAGACTAGGAAAAAGGACCTAGTGATCTACATCCAAAAAAAAAAAAATTAGTTAAAACCTTATGTATAGCAGAACACTGATACACTGATGTACTTACTGCTGGAAGATAAGCCCCTCGGGTTCAAAGGCACCCAAAATATGACTGAGAAAGAAAATAGAGTTGACCTTAATGACATGGATGGAGTGAAGCTTTTGGGACCTTCATTTACTAATACGGCATGACTCAGAATGAGAAGAAACAGCTGAAAACATCCATTATTGGAACATGGAAAGGGTAGCATGATTATATAGGAAGGAGCTCCAGGGGCACAGTGGTTAAAGCATTTGGTTGCTAACCAAAAGGTTGGCGATTCAAATCCATTAGTCTCTCCATGGGAGAAAGATGAGGCAGTTTGCTTCCATAAAGATTTACAACCTTGGAAACTCTATGGGGCAGTTGTATTCTGTCCTATAGGTTTGGATGAGTTGGAGTCAATTTGATGGCAATGGGTTTTAAGACCTCCAAAAATTTGTTCCTCCATAAAAGCCACACAAAAAAGTGGCAAAAATTGTCAGAATCAAGGTTTTCATTCATCAAATACTTACTGAACATCTTCCATATGTCAGGTACTATGTGAATAGCTAGATACAATGATGGACAAAAATAAGTAGGATTCCCATCCTTAGTGAGTCTCACACCATGATAATTTGTCATCGTGATTTTCAATAGTAACAGTTCGTATTTCTGCTTCATTCCTAATTATGCTGGTTAGAACTTCTAGAACAATACTAAATAGTACTGATAATAGGCACAAAGCTCTGGTGGTGCAGTGGTTAAGGCATTCAGCTGCTAACCAAAAGGCCATAGGTTCGAACACATCAGCTGCTTTGTGGAAAAAAGATAAGGCAGTCTGCTTCCATGAAGATTTATAGCCTTGGAAACCCAATAGGGCAGTTCTACTCTGTCCTAAAGGGTTGCTATGAGTCAGAATCAACTCAATGGCAGTGGGCTTGTCTGGCTTGTTTTTTTCGTAATGCATACAATGGGCTTGTTCCTGATTTTAATGGGACTATCTTTAGTAGAATGTCTCTTAATCTTTCTTGGGTTTAGAACTCAAAATGGGGGTCACATTAAATATGTGATAAAAGCTTCTTCTCTAGAGAAATACACATACATATACATGCATTTATATAAAATCTATATACAATTTTAAGGGATTCAAGGACCCAAAAGTCCATAGACACTAACTAAAGAAGCTCTGTTCTACTGTTTCATCCTACTGGTTTAAAAGCTAGATGTTCTTCTTCATACTGAGATGTTGTTGCTGTTGTTAGGTACCGTTGAGTCATCTCAGACTCATAGCGACCCTATGCACAGCAGAATGAAACACCACCAAGTCCTGTGCCAGCGCCATGATTCTTGCCATACTTGAGCCCATCGCCGCTGCCACTGTGTCAATCCATCTCGTTGAGGGCCTTCCCCTCTTTTGTCGACCATCCACCTTACCAAGCATGACATCCTTCTCCAGGGAATGCTCCCTTCTGACAACATGACCGAAGTAGGTGAGATGAAGTCTGGCCATTCTCACCTGCAAGGAGCATTCTGGCTGCACTTCCACCAGGACAGACCTGTTAGTTCTTTTAGTAGTCCACAGTACTTTCAGCATTCTTTGCCAACACCACAGCTCAAAAGCATCAATTCTTCTGTCTTCCTTATTCATTGTTCAGCTCTAACATTCATATGAGGCAAATGAAAATACCATGGCTTGTGTCAGGTGCACCTTAGTCTTCAAGGAGACACCTTTGCTCTTCAGCACTTGAAAGAGGTCCTTTGCAGCTGATTTGCCCAGTTATATACATCGTCTGATGTACTGACTGCTGCTTCCATTGGCGTTGCTTGTAAAAGCAACTAATGTGAA